ATGCCAGGCGCCACCAGCGTCTGTCAGTGCTGCCCGGTCGCAACCGGTGCGAAATGCGACATGCTGCATTTCGCGCCGATGTGTTAACGAGACAACACTGTGTCTCCCTTTTTTCGTAAAATGCGACATGCTGCATTTCGCACCGACGCGTTCCCCAGGCATCACTGAGCCTTCCTCTTTTCAACTCTGCGCATGGCCTTTCAATTCGTTGCTATCGCGTTCATTGCTTCGCCTTTCCGGTAAAGCTATGACTTTTTTTTGTATATATGAAAGCTCAAGGAATACAAAAATTGGCCCCTTATCTGCATGTAATCTGCAAATGTCGTCGAAAGACAATAATGTTGCATGTGGAGAGAGTGAACAAATAATTTGATGTTCTGCGCAAGAAAATCGGTGAATGGTATTTTGGAGGCGTTGCGTTAGAGTGCCTCGAGCGTGCAGCGCAGGAGAACGAGTACAGTGTCTAAAAATATACTGCCTAGTGTGCTGAGCGCGTGAATTCCGTACGAGAGAGGCTGGCCGCACATGTGATGACTGCACTCAGATGCCACAAGCGGCGCTGCGTGTCAAGAGGGTGCACGAACGCGCGAAATTCCTCTCGTCCTGTTGCTGCCAGAACCTCGCCACGTTTAAAATCAGTGAGTGACAGCTGCAATCTGATTTACTGTGAAGTTCGACGGCGCCATATGTACACTGCAACACCCTGAGATGCTAAAAGCTAGGCGGCAATGCAAAGAAAGGACGTGTATTGTGCCGCTGTGTCAAAGAAGTTATCGGTCGAACAAGGTAACGGTGTCTTGTTACCCGCGCTAACGGATCCAGCACTGTTTCCTGAATGAAAAAGTAGGATCAGGAGGGCAGACAGAAGGCTCAATCCGAAGGCTGTCGTGTGAGAAAAGCATTCTGAGAGTAATTCCACCAAACCATCTTCTGGGATTAGCGTGAACGGTGTCGGGAATGAAATCGCCGTTTAGGCAAAATATCAAATAATATTATTTATCTTAAAAATCGAAAATACCCTTTCGAATTTCATTCACACAGTTTTTCTCCCATGTCGACATCGGACTCCCTTACCAACAACGTTTTGAGTATCATATGCAGCGAGTTTCAGTTTATTCATTGGCATGTTATCATTCATTGTTTTCACTGAAATCCTAATGGAATGCAGACTAAGAGGTAAAGGTTTTAGGGTCCTCTGTGGATATTCTTGCTCTCAAGAACAAAGCACACTTTAAAAATTAACTCTGGTGGTTATACTGTCAATGGTTTTTAAAATTAATTTCTTTGCGTACTGCAACCACTTTGAGCATCTATATCTATCTATCTATCTATCTATCTATCTATCTATCTATCTATCTATCCGTCCATCCGTCTGTCTGTCAGTCCGTCCGTTGGTCTGTCCATCCGTCCGTCCACCTGTCTTTGTCTGTCTGTCTGTCTGTCTGTCTGTCTGTCCGTCCGTCCGTTCGTCCGTCCGTCCATCCGTACGTACGTACGCATATTCGTGCGTCCATCCATCCATCCGTCTGTCTTTCTGCCTATCCGTCCGTCTGCCCGTCCAGCTGTATGTCTGTCTGTCCATCCGTCTGTCTGTCTGTCCATTCGTCCGTCCGTCTGTCTATCCGTCCATCCGGCATCCCGTCTACCTGTCTGTTTATCTATCTATCTATCTATCTATCTATCTATCTATCTATCTATCTATCTATCTATCTATCTATCTATCTATCTACCTATCTGTCTATCTATCTATCTATCTATCTATCTATCTATCTATCTATCTATCTATCTAACTATCTATCTATCCATCTATCTATCTCTCTATCTATCTACTGATTCGCCTACGTTTGGGTGCCCTCACGATCACTGCCTTAAATTAGGGTCTTCGAAATACTTTATAAGAAGAGCCAAATGTTCGTGAAAAGCCAATGCTGGTTCTAGTGTTGACTATCCAATTTCTTGCATATATTTAGCGTCCCTTCATAATGCTTCACTCAATAAAAAATTACAACAGAGTCACCTTGCATAGCATTGATTCCCAAGTTACGTGGGATCTGCGTCTTTTTTTTTTGCGGGCAGTAGCGGATGGCGAAATGTATCCCATGAAATGATCTTCATTGGGTATTGTAGCGAATAGTAAAACAAACTAGTGTTTTTTCGTATGATGTACTTCCTTTACGTCTGTGGTAATTGCGTGCGTGCCCTTCCTGCTTGGACCACTATGTCCGCAGTATTAATTAATAAATAGTAAATAAATAAATAATAAATAAAATTCAATGTATATACAGTTCATGTTATTCATGGAACTGACGGCTCACGCTCGCTAAACCTTTCTAAAGCTAATGAGGTTACAACCAGCGAGTTAACGTAGCAACCCTTTCCTTGTCAGATAGTGCTCATGTACATGCCATGCTGCTAATGGTTGATCGCACCTCGCGTTAACTAAAAGTCGAATGCTACTGTCACTCCATTTCCCTTGCAGTCATTGAACTGTCATGAGCACAATTTTTATTGTTCAACAACGCATAGAAGAAGTCTCTCACTGGCACCACCTTGGAGGTCAAAATGTTATACTTGTTACAAACTACGAGGGACGAACGGGTGCTGCTATAAGGAGTTTCACCCCTAAAATTGGCCCGTATCTCCATATAATCTGCACATGTCGTCGAAAGACAGTAGTATTGCGTGTGGAGAGAGTGAACAAGTAATTTGATGTTCTGCGCAAGAAATCGCTGAATGGTATTTCGGAGGCGCTGCATTAGAGGGCCTCGAGCGTGCAGCGGAGGCGAACGAGCGCATCAAGTCACGTCCCACGTGAGACAAGAGCGTCATCTGGCAGTTTCTTGGAAAACGAAGCGCGTGCTCTGAGACGGGTGTGCGCGCCCGTCTCAGAGGTGATACGGTGAGGAACACAAGGCGACGGGTAGGTGCTTCCACCATCGCGTCCTTAGTAAAGCGTTGGAAAGACTCACCTTTCGTGCAGCGTTGCGTGGTCACCATAGCGTGATAAGCGCTACGGTCCTTAAAATTACTTATGTATGCATTTTCTAGTAAAGATACGCATGCAGAAATATGTACGTGTTGTTATGGTGCCCCAGACTTGCACAATAATTGCTTAATAATTGGCAATCGCACAAGTATGAAGCTAAACCCTGAGCAACATTGGTGAGCGCTGCGGATGGGGTCGGCCTTTTCATGTACCCGGTGCCGTTAGGAGTGGACAAACAGACAAATGTACACCAAAATTTTTTGCGTCGAAGGTCCCCAAGAAAGAGTATACCGTCTTCAAAATGCTGCCCGTGCTTGGCACCCAGCTCGTCGCATTGCGCCGACGCGCCTTATCTCCCACGGGTACTTGTTCTGGTGCCCGGGGGCGGGGAAGGGGGGTTAAATGCTTGCACGCGGGCGCTTATTGTTCGCTATGCAGTTGCTTTCGGCTCTCGCTGGAACGATTGCGTAGTTTGTAGGGCCCACAATAGTAAATTCGCTAGCTACGCAGGCCCCGTTCACAAAAAGAGCGCGCCTCTTCATACACTGCGAAGCATAAAAACTGGGACAATTGTTAGTGGGCACTCATCTTTACCTGTGAAGACGTTTCGTGCGTCGTTTTGGTTTAAACAGCGTGTTAAAGGTCGAGTGGTGGAGATTATTTGTACGCTCTCGTCCTGTGTGTGTTATTTTCGTGCGTCATTTGTTCGTGAGCAGTGCTCTGTACGTTTCAACCTGCTTGCAGTTCAGAGCAGCACAATCTAAGGCATTGCCATCGCATTCATTGCTTCGCCCTTGCGGCGAAAGTGTGGCGTTTTTACTACGACCATGGTCCTTCAATACTTTTTTCTGGTCATGAAACTCCCGCGAAAGTTTCATATAGGGACACAAGTGGCCACCAGAGGCGCCACCGTAAACAGGAGGGCATCGATCGGCCGCGCTTGGCAGGGCTGTAGCGCGTTCGCGGAAGCGTTTCCCATCAAATACACTTCTTCAGATATTTTCCTTCTCCGTGTTATCGCTAACAAATCATAGCAGCTATTAGTATTGTCAAAGTGGTCCATGATGCGCGTTGTCAAATTGCCTAAGTCTTTGACTGCTGGCAATGTTTTAACTGAGTTCGTCTGTCAAGTGACGCGCATTCGTAGCGTTCCTAAATTTCTCGATTCCTGCATAGCCGCTTTTGGGGCTTAAACCGAACACTGTGACTGGTTCTAGATGACTGAAAGGTTAACATATTTTGCGCTAGAGATTGCGGAGCAGCCGTGCTCTGGCTGCACGTAACGTTCATTTTCGGAATAACTATCACTTTATTCCATATGGCATCACGAAGCAGCCAATAGAAGTTCGCGTGCCAATAAACAAATCTGTGTATCAGGGTGACTTGACATTAATAGCCTTGAAGTACCTCTTGAGGGATATCGTTAGTGAAACATAGCTGAAAAATTAAAAGCTCAGAATGAGACACCACAAGACAGAGAGGGATGCTCAAGTTGTGCTCTTTTCTTTTTTTTCTTTGATGTCATAATTAGCGCCCCTGATTTTAAAGATTAAAAAATGAGATGAAACTGTTGTGAGCTGCTAGATATAGGCACTACGTGCTATTTCGAAGCGAGAGCTTTTGTTTTTACGCATGCAGATTTGATAACGCAGCCGAGTTTGATATACGCGGCTTTTTTTTTATCCATTCCCATGTACTCTCCCAATGACCACGACTTCTAAGTCCGCGTTCTAATTAGCCACCCTGTTCCTTCTACGCGCACATAGAAATCAACCAGGATCTTCCTTCAACCCAGTTATTCAGTTTAAACGAATCAGTTGTACATGAAACTGCATTGCTCTTTTTGAATATTTCTAGAGATTTTCTTTATGCACTTAGATATCTCTTTCAATCCAACTTGAGCTTTTTATGTGCGAGATATTTCTGCCTAACGAAAGCAAATCTGTGTGCCACTTACCTAGCAGGGGGTAACATTTTGAATTTGGCAACTACGCTACGCGGCAATCGTCGAGAATTCGAAACTGCCATGAGCACAGGCACATAGTTTATTCAAATCTGCGTTTCAAAACTGTGGATGAAAGTTGGGAGACGGAGTGGATGACACAACAAAAATCATTGAAAAAATTTATGTCCCTGGTTTCCTCCCTCCTTTGGCCGGGCAGGATAAACGACGTCCGCCAGCACGAAACAGTTTGTTCTGCTCACGCGTAAAAAAATGCAGACGGCACTTAATAAAAAAGTGCACAACTTCTGCCGTAGTGCTCACGAAATGTGAGCCACAGCCAACACTGGCCGAAGAAGTGCGGTCGTCCAGCAGGATGTTCTCAACAATGTTCATGTAAACACTGGCACAGGCTATTTTGTCCACCGTGCACATTTCCACATGTTCTTCCACAATTTGCAAGAGCCGCAGTAATTTCTCCGATGGCACTTGCAAAAATCCTCTTGTCTTGATTTGAGTCAATGCAGTTGGCTCTCGGGAGTTGCTTCTGAGTGTTTGGAGGCAGTCCTTGCAGCTTATTTTAGCAAACTTTTTTGCTACATACCCACCAAGGTAATCCAAAATACAGTCCCTCGTTGACTCGGGATGAATCATGTCTTGCATGCATTCAGCAGGCTCCAGCAGTATATCGTCAAAAGAACTGCCAAGGTATCAATCTGAAACATATTTTGCGTTATCACAATGGCCAGAGTGAGAAATTTGTAAAGTAAAATATAAAAATGCAGAATAAAACTTCTAGGCGCTTAAGCAAAAAAAAAAAAAAAAAAAAAAAAAAATTTTTTTTTTTTTTTTTTTTTTGCTTAAGCAAGTGATCTTATCTTCTTTCTAATATATATATGTGTGTCGTAGTAGTAATAAATCAGTTGAAAGTCTGCGCTCGTCCTCGTCTCTTATGTTAGTTGTCTGAAGTTTTACGCGCCTAGAAGTTTTATATGGATTACCAACTAGCCCAATCCCACACTTTACTTAAGCAGAATAAAAGTCTGTTCTATATCATACGACCAGACGTGCATGTCATTAGCATCAAAAAGCTAGACGACATTCAGCACGTTTACGATGCACAAACACCCTACAAGCAGCATTGGTGGGTGCTATTCAAATGTTTACCTGATTAACAGTAGGCTCTTTATGTTGAAAGAGATCCTGCATTTTCAAGAGGAGACGCGGACCATCCCCTTCAACCGAGGCTCTCTGTGGAGGACGGATCAAGTTGTTCACCGAGAGCAACCGGTAAATGAACAAAAATTGCTGAACAGTTGGCTGTCCCCCTGCTCCAGCGACATGTCTTGCGATGCCAAAAAATCTCTGAAAAATATAAAAGTGTGAAGAAAACGTCTTCAACGAGCAAAAACGTTTAAATGTACCTCGAGGTGGTCTTGTCCAAAGTTGCCAACTAAAACATAGCGAAAGCCACAATTCAGCAGCTTTTCAACAAGCGTCACTGTGCTGTGCAAAGTCATTCTCAAAGCATTGCATGTTGGCTTGCTGAGAAAGAAGAGTTGCTTTGGTAAACTCTGGTTGTAAGTGTGCCACCTGTCAAGCCATTCGATGTTCTCCTTCAGCGTCTGAAAAACAATCTGATTTAAGTGGAACTTCAAAGGATGTGACAGTAGGTTTGAAATATTAGGGCTTACAGAAATGTGTTCCGCTTCATTGTACTGCACATCTTGTGGCCTTTTAGAATTGAAGCAGTCGAATAGACTATTCATTCGCCTCGCAAAATCCGAAGTTGCTTTGGAGCCACGAAGTTTCACACATTCTTCTCTACTGCGATAGAAGTCCATTGCTGAAGCAGTGCTTTCACTGAAGAGCTGAAATGTTTTAGAGAAGTTATATGGCAGAGTGTTGTATTCTGATGAAGCAACACCACTTTTTGTTACACATACTGATTAATGACTCATGCTAGAGCAGCTGTTATGTCTTACCTGGACAGCAAGTCTCACACTCAGTTTTTGGAAAGCGTTGGGGCTGATGTGAGCTTTCGTAAGCTTTGGCACAGCCCGAAGTCCAGCTTGCTGCTCCTCGTAGTCCAGCAGAGCTTCAAAGTGGGAATGCTGTACTTCTTTGTCACCAGGCAACTGTTACATTTATAAAAAGGCTGTGAGACAAAGTTAGCCAGAGCACTGTGATGACTTATCTTAAACTGTTTTACGCACCAGGAACTTTCCGGCCTTCAAAAGGTTATTCCTGATGCACTTGAAGATGTGCGGCGGGTCAATTATAGCCTGAATGACTTTGGAGGAGTCACATGGATGCTCAAACGATGTTGATACTCTTGTGACATCACCACTGACACCTAAAAGAAAGGCATTTCTATTATTAAAATCACTTACTAAATACCTTGAAAATAAATAATGACTGCAAATATTTACCCAAGGAGTTCAGTGCTGATCGGTTCGAAGTTGAGTTATCGCAAGTGACTGCCTCCACAATGACGCCGGCATTCGATAGGAGTACAATGCACTGCAGGATCAGTTTGGCAACAGTGGATCCTGGTGCAGCCCCGGACGTGCAAAACGCTCCGACAGTCTGCGACCAGCCACCAAGGAATGGTCGGAAAAGGAACACCAACACGTGGTCCCCATCTTTCACTTGGTCAGTCGGCTTCGTGTGCTCTGCTAAGTCCACCTTTCCAAGCAGTGCCATATCCGATTCCCTGACGTGAAGGCTCTTTCTCACGCTCATCTCATCAAACATGAGGACACCTAAAGAAAAAAAATATTTCAGCTCTTTACCTAGAGTCCAGAAAAATCAAATGCAAAAGAAAAAAAAAGATAAAAACCTCGCCGTTCTCTCTTTGGAATCTTTTCCACTTTGTCTTTGAGGATGTCAAATAAATTTTCATCAAATCCGAAGCCGGCCTTCAGATTTTTCAGATAGGAGTAGAGTGTGCGAGGGTGTGGTAGAGGCAGAAAATTATTCTCGTGAAGAAATGTATAAACTGCTGTGGATTTGATTTTCAGCAGTAAACAATCGTAAAGCCATTCCTTTTTATACCTGCAATAAATAAAATGCAATTTTTGTGGTCACGATTCTGCTACAGCTCAAGCAAACAGCACCATCAAAGTAAAACAAAATATTGCGTTTTGTCCCACGGCTTCACTTAGTAGTTTCTGTCAATATCCAGAAAGCAAACGAATGCGCACCGAACATCGCACTTCACATAAAATTGCACACACACACAAACTTTACAAACCGGATCTTACCGTGCTGCTTTCGCAGACTTCATATTTGCTTTCATGATGCACTGGTCTATAATGAGCTTCTCGCGGTCTGAAAGCTTGTGAATATCTGCATACACTCCATTCTTTCTATTCGCGTGCGCCTCCGCTTTTGTGAGTTTCCGCTGACATGACTGAAGCTGTTGCTTCACGCTGCGAAGTTGGGCCTTCACTCTCTGTAGCTCCGACGCTGAACAAACGGTGACCTCTGTTTGACACTCTGCATCAGCGTAGCCATTGCGATTCTCAGTTCTCACAACATCTGCAAAGAGTGAGAAAGGGCAATATTTATAAGGGAAGGAACCAATTTGGTTAGCGTAGTGAGCGAATTTTGTTAGCGTGGTGAGCGGGTAGGATACTTGCAAACTTTGTGCCAGACTTACCTTCGATTTCTTTGTCGGCTGCACTGGAGACGTCTGCATTCGCGACTGTCGCATCACAATCCGGAGAAAGCTCTCGCGGCCTTTTTAGAGGTGGGCCCTTCGTTGCACGCGAACGCTGCTTTGGTTTCGAGAGGTAGGAAGGCAAACCTTCAAAAATCCTTGGTACGGCGTCTTCCACCAGTCTCGGTCGTTCTCGGGGCAGCGAAACGATGTCTCCGTTCACAGTGCACACGTCCGCACGTACAATGTCACTGGCGTCGAAATGTTTTTCACACACGCGAGCGTACTTTGATTCGAACGAAAATCCGGCAGTCTCCTGTCGCGGGATCGCACGTTTCCACCTGACGCGTTGTTCTGCGTTGGCTGGTAAACAGAACAGGGAAACTTTTTCGACGGTGCCCTTGTATCCAGAATGACAGCCCGGCACGCAGCAGGTGTTGGGCATCGCTGTCAACACGATGCGACCGCGAAAAGCTAAAAAGGGGGGCGATCAGCACGACCACCACAACTCCGCGCCAACAGTCCGCTAATGGCGGCCAACAGAGCAGCCGGCCGGGCCGGCTTCCTCGTCCCCCGTCTAGCTACGCCAGCGCCGCGGCGCGGAAAGTGCGGGCGGTATATGAAGCTCTCCCATTGAGTGACGCGGGAGTTTCATGACCAGAAAAATATTGAAGGACCATGCTACGACTTTACAGAAAAACTGGTACAGATTACAATATAAAAGATAGTTGTCTTTGTCCAGGCTTTTCCAACACAGGTTAGTTTAGCAATGCAGAAACCAAACCACTTTCTAAAGCATTTGGAATAAAACATAGAAACAGAAGTAAATTGAAACAGCTAATAGGATTCAGTATGATGAATTTAAAGTAAGCCTAAAAAAAACTCTACAAACAGGTTTAGGTATTAGATTTTGATTTTAGAGTCAACGTTCGCACTTTGCGGTTAGGATAATAACAAGGAATTTAAAAAGGCTTGATGAGAATTGCGTTTCTTTAGCAACAAAACACCTCAAACCATTCGCGCCTCCTAATAGTTTGTTATTCTCTTTTGTACACCGTTATAGCAACGACCCTACACACTTACGCTTTGCTTTCCGTTGCCGTCCACCCTTCTACGTCGGTGAGTGGTGCGTGCGCTTACAGACTTCAACCCCTGTCACGTGACTTTAGTGCGGCAACACGAAGATATTTGTGAACAGCTTGCCATTCCTTGTTGTGTGGGAATGCCGATTTAAGGGGCTCCAACATGGTAAGCTTTCCGCCATAATTGTCGCTGTTGCAGAAAAAGCACAGCTAAATCGCTGAAACCACGTCACTGATATTGTACATAACTATACTTCCACACCAAGAGGCATCACACATTCTATTTCTGTGTTGCATCGATTCACTTTGGCGCTCGGTTAACTCGATACCACTTCGGGTGCTTTTAGGTGCTTGCTGAGAGCTGTGTCTGCACAAGTGCAGTCCAAAAATAAATCGTAAAGTGAATTAGAAAAAATACAGGGGTTTAGTGCTGCTCCTAAGTAACATATTACCGCAATAAAAACATGTCTAAATAACCACACCACGCAATAGAATGAGAGGAAAGCTTTGGTCTAACCACGAGAACTAAAAGAAGAATGAAACGCAAAACTAAAGTATTTTATTGAAATTCACGCGTTCACGAGAATAGTCATCCAGGCGGTTTCTGTTCATGGAAAGATCTCTCCCCAGGGATGCATTCGTATTTATAGGTCCGGCGTTCAGCCGCCAGGGACGAATGGGAAGCTCGGGACCAATCTCTCCTCTAATAGGCTGTCAACGGCTGGTCTTCTGGCAATTGCAGGACAAGCAGCATGCAGCAACAAAGCTGGCGGTATCCATTAAGCTCTCTCATGGGACGTCAACTACCGCATGGCTAACGATTTATTTTTCTTCTACGTGTTCGTTAGTTCATTGAGGTCTTTCTCGTGCGCAAAACTTTGTTATTTAGCTCTTCAGTAAGTGAAGCTTCTTATTTCACGTGCATGGCTCGCTGTAGTGGTGCGCAATGAAGGTTTGGGCAAAGTGGACCACATACTTGTTCACACAAATAAAACTGACTCGTGACATGCTCTCAGGCAGACGTGCTTTGTGTAACACGGTAACGCTTTCCTGCGGATCGTGTAGGAGCACGCATTGCAGAAAATATTGGCTGAAGCCTGATGCAACACCTTTTTTGTAGACAATGCGTGCTTTGTGTGCCAATGAGTTTGTCACGTTTCTCTTAATTCGGGGTATATGTTGTGCATTGCTAATAAGTAAGAAAGATATATATTTTCCTAACATTTGAGGGTTTTCCGTTCGCATTACGTCATTTTGATTATTTAAAGACACACTTGCACACTTTTTTCCGGAGTAACAGTATTCTATCAGCAATCGCCTTTATTATGTGAAGAAACTTGGCTTTTCAAATATTGCCAACATAGGGTAGATATACACATATTAAAGAAAAGGTGTTCGTATTGCGACCGAGATACTTAAACATGAAATTGAGTTTTTGCAGTGTTTTCTTTCTCTCTTACGAAATTCTGAAAAGGAGAAATGGCCGACCGCATACACATGACAAATCCGTTGTACACAGAGAGAGAGAGAGAGAGGACAGAGATCATTGTATACAAAAAATGGCAGGCACTATTTGTACCTAAATGATTATTATGACGTAGTAACAAGCAAACAAGAAAGGATGTGTCATAAGGCAAGGAGAAAAACAGACACTTTCAATACATTGTCAACTAAAGATGCAGTAATAAATGATAACAATATTCTACTACAATTGTAAAGGACAACTTTCTTGGTAACTAGAAAAATCTCGCGGGCGAACGCAATTGTCGTCCACTCAGTCTAAACAGTGCGTCGCTTTGCCTCAACTAAAGAGC